ATTACCACACTTAAAAATACTCGCAAGTCTCTGAAGGAGAGTTCTCTTCAAGAAAAATCAGATGGAAAGTTTAAATACAATCAAAGAAAATATTCTTGGCACTCAAGCTAACCACAGAGGTGGCAGAGTACAGACAGACTCTGCCATGCAATCACCAGCCCTTCCTTAGGGGAAGGGAGCAGGCTAGCTCAAATTAAGCAGAATCCAGTTACCCGAAGGAAGGTGGGGAATCCTTGTCCATAGTAGCCAACAGCAAAATAGTCGGGCTTGGGTCTTATTACTTTGACGATATTTTCATAAAATTGAGCCTGTTTTTTCTGGAAGGAAAAAAGAAAATGCATTTCAGGGTCAACCAGAGTATCTGAGCAACTGTTTTTCCATATTCTTGCCATGGGCTCTCTTAAGCTTTGGCAGCTCTCATAGGGTGCTGAGGAGGGGCCTTGAAGCCTGCACCTAAATTCAGTATTTACTGATAGCTTTGGTGTTATTTTTCACTCATCCTCCAGCATTCAGCAAGGGATTAGATAAACAAGGCAAATGTAGTTTGTTATTTATGGGTGTTTTCAATAACCAAAGAGAGCGCATAGAGATTGTTTCTCTTCTAATTAAATGAGTGGCCCTTTAGTGTTTTTTAAGTGGTATGAATAAAGTACTGGGAGTACATTACAGAGGAACTTAAAAGGACAGAATTACTTTGCTTCAAATTAATGACAAACATTACAACATCATAAATGTAATCTGCTGAATTAAAAAAAAAATGACATAGCATAGCCTAAAAAGAAGTAGTCAGACACTTTCAGAGCTTCTGTGGAGAATAAAAGTCTGGCTACTGTCCATTCATCCCCATCTTGGAGAAGCGGTCACAATGTTAAACTACAGAAACTTCTTGGAGGTTCTTGGCCTATCAAGACCACTAGATACGGGCCATTGGCAGTTCTTTATGTACAATTCATTCCCTGAAGTCTTAGTGCTTGGTTATAAAAGCTGATCTGGGAATAAAAAGTAAATACTCATGGGGCCAGAATCAACCAGCAGATACACTAAGACCATATTCTTGGACAGTATGGAGGACTAAGCTAGCATTACAGAATGCCTAGGGTGAATTCCAATGAGAGAATGGAAATAGAAATTCCAGAAAAGCAAGCTTAGACTACCACTGTTCATTTAAATAGAAAAAAAAAAAAAAGACCTACCAGCAATTCACTGAGTTGTTCATAATCAAACATTTCGTTTTCATACTGTTCTGCAAGTTCCTTGCCCAAGGCAATGGCCTCCTCCCACATCTGTGAGTTACAAGGAAGAAAAAAGAGAGATCCAAACCTAAATCCGGCAGTAAAGTAAAGCAATCATTCATAACGAAACAATTTAAAAACATGTTAGGTTAATTGAAAGACCAGAGACATGATACTGGAAAAATACAAGTATTTTCTAGAGGCTCCTGTCCTTTGCCTCAGGACCCAGTCCGCTGACTAAACTGGTCAACTGCTGGCTCATTTATCACCTGGCCTTGGCCTGCTGTACAGTGGTCTGCTGGCCTGTCCTCGCCAACCCTGTCTTGGCTCCCTTGCTGACAGCTGTGGCCACCAAGGCCCAGCTGTTGGGGTAGTCAGAGGGTCAGGGAGAAGGAACTAACTGCAGTATGAAGAAGGGAGGCAAAGGGAACACTGCAGTAGAAACGAGCATTCTGAGTTGGCTACTTTCCCAAATTGTCCTACTTAATAAATGTCATGCCCATAGCACCAGGTGCAAGAGACACCAGGGTATATTTTAACCCCAAATTAAAGCTTGCAAAAAGTTTGCCTTATATGTGCAAGCACTGTGCAGATGTAAATCATGCCATCATTTTGAAAAAGGGGAACCCCACATTGTAAATAATCTGAGGGTATCTTCCATGTAACTTATTTTTTTAAATGTTGACAAACTTTTGGGACATGTATGATGATTTGTTCATATATTGTAGGTCTGAATTCCTCTTACTTTTCTTGGGAGAAGGAAAATCTGGAGGCCTGATTGCCATCCCTTGCATGGCAACCAGGAGCATGGCAAAATGCTCCTTTGCATTTCCACAGTGACCTGGGGCTTCAAAATCTTCTGCAATGTAATGACAGAGAGACTAGAAGCCGCTAGAGCTCAGGGGTCAAGCATTAACCCTCTGTGAAGCCCCTGGACAGCTATCCAGAGCCTGCTTAGCAAGGCTCAGTAAACAGAAGTGAAGGTTGTTGACTTGAAACCAGGGAAGCTTCATACCATCCCACATACTGTGTTCCCAACCACGAACCTGCTTCTCTACTGCCATCATCCCCAGAAGACAGCTGCTGTCATAGTCATGTAGTGTAGCTTTGACTCCCTTCTTGCTGGGATGCTAAGGACCACCCCCGGGGCATCTTTATCTCCAGGAGGGCAGCAACCACTGCAATGGGAGTTTATGGCTTTTAACTCCTTCCCCTAACATGATGTCGGGCCACCTACATTCCTTTGTTGAAGTCCTTCAACCACCCTGTCAGGTAGATGTCTTTCTTATGCCCACGTTGCACACAACACAGCTGGGGGTCAGGCAGGTAAATAAACTGTCTGAGGACACACAGCAGAGAAGTGGCTGTTCCGCAAAGTTCTTCCTCTTGAGGATCATGCACCAGCACTTCCAGCTGTCCCCTGCTCTCTCCTGCTGGGATGGGCTTTAAAAGATTCCTAGTCAGTCTTTAACTCAGGATCCCATGCCCAATACAGGCTGCTGGGCATCCACTTGGCACACCCTGGCATGAAGCCCCCAATGTCTGCTCCTCTTTGCCTTTCCTTATTAGAATGGGCCCTCCCAGGGCCTTACTGATTAGCAAATCACCCAATAAAGTGAAAAACACTGTTTTACTCAAATGCTTCAAAAATACTCCTTTCATAACTACTACTTAAAAGAAAACATCTGCTATTTTGGGTGAGCAAAAAGTTACTCTAGAGTAAGAGTTGTATTTTAATACTTTGATAAACAATAAAAGTAAGCTCAGAGTAGATTGCAGGGCTGGGACCAGTGTCCAGGGACAGGAAATGAAGATGGGCATGTCCTGCCCACGGCCCACACTCTTTTCCTCTTTGGTTCCATGTTGCAGCACATTTTTTTAATAGCTACATCTGATTCTCCAGATCTTTTTTACACCCTACTCCAGGTCCCAAGCTCACATTCCCAAGAAGGGAAAACTTCTCTCACTTTAGTGTTTAAACTTCAGTGACCCATGCCTCCCTTAGCATATTTCCATTTCAAAGATACATTACCTTTCCTTGTAAGTCTCCTTCACTGGATTTTTCTTTGGTTTTCTGCACGCTAATACACCTCTTAGCTGCCTCAACCAGTAGGGCTTCTAATTCATTCCCAAGTAAAAGCTTAATCTATCTTTATCCTAAATGACAGATGAGGTACTTTAGATACCTATCAAAAGTAATTGTTTTTCAAAGAAATGTAAGTCTTGAGTAAATATCTTATCCTGTTCACCCTGAGGTTATGTGGTTGCATTTTCTATCAGATTTTCTATAAATATATATTCCTCCTCTCCCTTCTGCATGTGTTAAAGGATCCTGCACCAAGGAGATTTTCATCTATTTTTAATTGGACAGGGCTCTAAAGAGAGTGTGGGTAATTCATATTTTCAATGTGACTACTTCAGAAAATATTTCAGTGCCAGAGAGAAAACAGATTCAATATGATCTAGATTTAGATTATCTTTGTGAAAGAATCACCTTAACCTTCCTGAGTAAATGTCCTCCTTGGCTCCATTCTTAGAAGAGCTAGAGGCTCAGGAGGTTTATGCAGCCCCCAGAGAAAAAGCCTGTATCAGCAAACAACTTTATTTTTCTGATCTGAAGTACTTAATCCAGTTTATGGCATTTTGGAAATTGTTAGTTCCTGGCTACATGGAGCACACTGTCTCTCCACTGCTTTTCTGCAGATGATGATGGTTCCATTTTCTTGAGATGATAATCTTTCCCATCTTTTTGAACCTCCTGCTTTCAGGACCTTCTGTTTCTTCAAGTTCCATGAATAAAAAACTTTCTTTACTGATGAAAGGCCTTCCTTAGTTCTGAACAGAGTGGTGGCAGGAGAGATACCAGATACTGATTTTTACAGACAACCATGAACTTGATGTTTGACCAGGGTGATAGGTTGATGACACTGATCTTGCAGGGTCAGGGTGTAGCAGCAGATGAAAGGACAGATGCCAGCCAGGACAATGATCTCTCAGTACTGATACAGGCTGGCTGACTCACCAGGACACCGGTGGGTGAGTGACTCTGCTTTAGTCTGCCTCTCAGCTGTGAGTAACTCACCAGGGAGGGTATCTTTCTGGGGAGCTTGAATCTCAGCAGTTCTTTCCTAATTCACCTGTTTCTCCTGGCAGTTATTGGGTCGAGTCATGCTCAATTACCCGATGGTTTTCCAAAGTCCCATACTGCTGCCCTCTGAGTGTAAGTAGATGGATGTTGTGTAACAATCCAGAGCTCCTGTTAAGGTCTCAGCACCAGAAGGGCTGAAGTGGCCAGGACCAGCAGAAGACCTGTTCAGTCACCTCAGGTCAATAAGTGCTGAGAATGAGGCCACTGTTCCAGTTCCTAGGTCCCAAGTGTGTTATAAGAAAGGCCATGGCAATTCCAGGCTTGACCCAACTGACAGAGGCCCAGTTCATCTCAAGATTGCCTGTAATCTCTCCTACAGAATGGAGACTCCTTGACCACACAAAGGTTGGCAAGTCTTCGTGAAAAGGTCCTTGAAAAGACTCAGCGATGCACCAGACTCAAATGCCTTCTGTTATAGTGAAATATTCAAAGTCCACTCCACACAGGAACCATTTCCTACCTAACTCAGGTTCATCAACTTGACTTTTTTTTCCCATCACAGTTCTTTGTTAGCCAATAGAAAATTATTTGCTCAGCTTTTAATGCCTTGAAAGGAAGAACAAGGAAGGATTTTTAAATTTTTTTCTTTTAATGGAGATTTTGCATTTCCCCCCACCCAGGTCAGGACATCTGCGGTTCTACAAAGGAGGATGAATAGCCTAGTCCAGGCAGCAAGAGATGTGGTTGCCTCTTGCTCAGTGCTTAGATTAGAAGGAGAACGGATACTTGCAATCGCTCACTTCTCCATCCCACTGATGACTAGAGGTAGAGACACAGGCAGGTGCTGAAGAGAGAAGCTGGAAAACCACAGACTTTTCTTAAAGATGGAGGAAATAGCACGGTTAAAGGTGAGTGGATGTTAGCCACAGAAAGCAAATGCTGACATGGTGGGGGAGAGAGGGGGTCTGGGGTGTGATTCCTGGCATGGTGGAGGCTGGAGTGTGAGGGTGGACGTGCCTTGGATGAATGTTGCAGAGTCCAACCCTAAGGCAGAAGGGAAACAGAACATGTGGGATAGAAGTGAGCAGTGAGAGGAAGGCAGTGTGGGGGTGTGGAGTGGGCAAAGCTGGCTCACAAAGCCTGGGTCACAGCTGACTGGACAGTGAGTTACTTTGAAAAAGAATGGACAAATTAATGAGGTCTCTTTTATTCTCCCAGTTGTAGAGAGAATTCATCTTCTCCTTCATACTTGGGCTGCACCTAGTCTTAAGATCTGATCACACATGTTGCACATACTTTCATCCCACCATCAGGAAGAGTCTCACCTCTCCTGGACTCAGCTCCTTGCTCGGCTCTGCCCTTGGTGACTCCCATATCCTTACTGGCCACAGCTGCCTGCCTGTGTTCTTCCCATTTTTTTTTTTTCTTTAATATCTGCCACCTCTAACATCTCCAACCTCAGTCCCAAGAGTTTGCTCTGTGTTAGTTTGCTCAAGTTTCCATACAAAAGGCCACAGGCTAGGTGGCTAAAAACAAAAGTATATACTTTCACAGTCCTAAAGTCCAGGTGTCAGCAGGGTCACGCTCTTTACGAAGGCTCTAGAAGAGCCCCTTACAGCTTCTGGTGGCTCCAGGTGTTCCTTGGCTTGTGGCAGCATCCCTCCAATCTCTGCCTCTGTTTCACCTGGCTGTCTCCTTGTGTTTTCTCCCCTCTGTCTCTTGTAAGGGCACTTGGCATTGGATTTAGGGCACTTCCCCTGAGGGAATTAAGATCATCTCTTCAAGATCCTTAACTTAATTACATCTGTGAAGGCCCTTTCTCAAAATACTGTCACATTCATCTGTCCCATGAGTTAGGATATATCTTTTTGGGGGGAGTCATCAACATGATGCAGTGTACTTGGATGGAGATTCTCTTAGATGTCTCTGCAGTGCACACCAAAGACCTGGCCTAGGACAAACTACTGCACCCCTGCCTTGCTATAATTGTTACCATGCTCACTTCTCTCTCTCCATAATCTTTTCCTTCAGATGCCTGGCAACTGTTAGACTAACACACCTGCTATCTTACTCAATATTCAAATGAATAAAACATCCCGTCTTTCTTTGCAGCATGTTGAACATTGAATTCCTAAATCCTCTTTCCACCAAGGAAGCTTGGCTACATGCATAGTGGGGGCCCTGACCCATGATGGCATCATTTTTCTGACCCTACTTAAGAGACACTGTGTGATCAGCTGAATTAAAGTCTTACTATTCCCCTTCCCTAGTTTTGTGGGATCTCTGCCACACAGCCCTAGATATTGGTTCCAGCCCCTTGCCCAGTCTCTGGCCTCCTCCCTCTCTTTCTACTTTACACCTTCTGCTACTGTGTGGCTAGAATTACCCCTTGGAAAGAGGAAAATGAATCATTCTCTATTTTCACAAAACCTCCACTGACTGTCATTATTGGAGTACATCAAATCTTCTAGAGACCTACAAAGGTCATTGTCTGCCTAGCTCCAAAGTCCTTGCTGTGGTCTGTGTCATTTTAAATTCATATCTTTAAATCTTCACTTCCAAGGTTTCGATTAAGAGGTAATTAGGTTATGAATGGAGAACCTCACAAATGTGATTAGCCCTGATCAAAGGGACCGACCGGGAGAGCTCTTTCCTTTCACCACTGAGGGGGCATAGAAGGTCCCAACTATGGACCAGGAAGTGATTCTTCACCAGACACCAAGTCTAGTGGGACCTTGATCTTGGACTTCTATCTTCTAGAACTACAGGAAATGAATTTCTGTTTATGAGCTACTCATTGCATGTTATTTTGTTACAGGAGCCCAATCAAACTGACAATCCTCTACATCCACATCTCCCAGGCCATTCTTGTTTCTCCATAAAGTGGGACATCTCCAGAAGCCCTTGCCCTGACTTTGCTCTTCCCAAGCTTTAGGATTTCATTCTCTCCCCACAATCACTTGGGAAATGGAATTTCTTCAAGAAAGTTTAAATGTCACCACTTCTGTGAAGTCCTCCCCAATTCCCCAGAAAAAGTGACCACACCTGTACCTATGAGAAGGTGGACCTGTTGCCCACCCACTGGACAGACCAGATGTTATTTATCTGCTTATGAGAGGCCTGACATTAGACATGAGTGCCCTGAGGCAAGCCCTGTCTCCTTCCTGCACTTCTGACTGGAGGATGCACCTGGCACACAGTAGGTTTGTTAGTGCAAAACCTCACTAGTGATCCTATAGAGCATGGAGGAGAGCATTGTGCTCGATTCTAAAAATTGATTTTCTCATGCTTTGATTAAAAAAAAAAGTGATTCTGTTGTATAGGAAACTAGAAGGTAGACTTTTTAGAGATGGAGAAGGGGGTCAAAAGAAGGGGAGGGGAGAATAAGTAGGAGGCATGGGGTTGAAAATATGTTACACAGTTGTACAAATATACCAAAATAGTGTATTGTTCTGTATTATTAATATGCACTAATAAAATGATTCTTTTTTAATAGGAGCAAATCATAATGAATATACACTCTCTGAATATTCAGGTCAAATTCTAGCTAACATCAAGATTTTCAAAAAGTTTAGAAATGCTGAGAATTAACTCTTAAGGGGGTTTCTTAATGTCCTGCACGGTTCTTCTAAATAGCACCTGAGTTTTAAAAGGAAAGCTCACAGGATGAGAAAACTTCACCCCCAAATACTTAGAAATCCAGCCATTTCACCAAAAATGGAAACTTGTTCCCAAACCCCTATTTTTAGTTCACAAGATGATGCAAGATGCATCATTTTTTTTTCAACTTTGGTGCAAGGCAAAGTGTGAACTTTGTCAAAGAGAGGTTATTTTAAGAAAAAGAAAACAGAGCTCTAGTTGAAAATAGTTGCACACATCACTCCATGTATCACTTGGGCTGTAAATTCTGTATCGCCTTTGTCAATGCTGCCAGGCTGCCTCTTGGTTTTAGCAGTTGTTCAGGGCTGGCTATTGCTGGCTGCCATGCTCTGGCTACATTTTTCTTATAGTGGCTGCTATTTTTGACTCTCATCCTCCATAGTGAAGCCTGCTAATTTTTGGTGAAGTACTTGGATTAAAGGCTTCATTGAAAATTACTAGGCCTCATCCAAACACAATAAGACAGACAATTCAGAACATCTTCAGAAAAGAATACTTGTCGTCCTGATAAAACTGAACAGGAGGCTTTAAGGGGGATGCTCGAGCGGGTGGTAAAAATGGAATGGAAAAGAAGCAAAGAGTAATTATTGGCCCAGGAAGGAAGAAATGCTAAAGAATGAAAACGGGAGCAGATGGAAATGACATTTTATGGAGAGAAAAGATTAAGGGACCAAGATCTGGACTGAAAGACATTTAAAACTTTGTAAAAGAATGGAAAGGCAGAATAGAAGGATGATTTTGTGCAGAAGAAAACAGAAAGATAACGGAACATAATTCAACTGTGAGAGTGTTCAATATAAAGAAGCAGAAAACACAATCAGCTTTGCTGGTTTCAAGGCACAAAGGTAGAGAAACTTTATTATAGTCTCCCACCCTTCTTTGTCTCTCTGCTTCCCTGCACGTGGATGGAAATGCCAGCCACATGGCCTGGGGACTGGGATCCTGCTCCTTGCCTTGCCTGCTCAGTATCATTAGGAGTGACACTTATTTTGGATTCTGTGAGTCCCTACTTCCACTAGGTCGCTGTATAAATGTCAAATTGTGAATTAACTGGAGCATGTACATAATTTCCACACAGTAAGTGTGGAATTACATGAGGAAGCCGGTCACAAGGTGAGAAGCTGTATCAATGGAGCTGTAGCTGAGTCCTATTTTGACAGGTTAGGTAATGTTTAGCATCTCTTTTATAATCTCATGGACTCCAGGGCTTCTTGGTTTTCAAGTTCAACAGGTATTAAGTCCTCTACCCTAATGCACTGTAATAAACACAGTGGCATTTTGTTTCCTTAAAATTTACTATGTGTAAAATCAGACCAAGGAAATGTTCGTCCTGCAGGCCACACACTCAGATGTGAGCCTAGTGGAACCTGTGCCATTAGTTAAGTCAGTAAATCCCATCGATGTCAGAGCCCTTCCTACATGCCTGTTTGCTTCACCCACTCAATAAACTGCTATAATCATTTGGCCTGCAGATTCTTATTCTTAGCAGACACACAGGAAAGGCCAACCCTTTTCTTGCAAGAATTTGTCTTTGTCTGGTCTGAAACCTTTGCAGTGAAAGCGGTGCTAAAATAAAGTCAGGAATGGAGTACTCCTACAGTACATACTCAGAAGATGCAGTGTGTGGCAGGCGTGATGTGGATCTGTACCTGGCAAGGTGCTGAGGAGTGAGGAGGAGGGAGAATCTCAGGGCCCAGGTCAGGAGGTAAGATCTATACTAATGAATATGCTCAGTATACAAGCAACTATGGAATGCCTGAGTGATGGCCACCTTTCTAACTGTGCATTGTTTGCTCAAGCATTGCTCAGTAGGGGCTAATTCAAGAAAGAAAATGACACTATTGACAGTGGGGAAGGCTGTGGGCTGGGCAGGGGTAACAGGAACGCTGTACTTCTTGTTCAATTTTGCTGTGAACCTAAAACTGCTCTTAAAATTAAAAAAAAAAAACCAGACTGAGCGCCCAGTCTCTGTGCAGCATTGCATTCACTCTAGGGAACCTACAGTAGTGAGAACACAGCTCTTGTCTTCGCTGTCAAGTAGCTCAAGTCAGCAGGGCCCATGACCCAGGGTAGTCCCTGGTCAGCTGCACCCTGGCTACCTGGGAGCTGTTTAGAGATACGGAACCTCCCTGCCAGACCTAATAGTTGGGATCTGCATTTAAACAAGATCACCAGAGGGCTTGGGGGCCAAAAGAGTTTAAGATACATAAAGTAGGGAATATAGAAAACAATTAAATAGTTTCACCAGCAAGGGCAAGATAGAAACCAGGCACAAAGCATGCCTGGAAGGAGGTAGACTAGTGGCATGTGATGCTCAGGGAGGTTCTAGCTAGATTATGGCAGCAGAAGAAACTCCAAGGAGGAGATGGCATTGAAATACGCCCAGAAGCAGTGAGAGCCTCCACTACCGAGATGGCAAGGGAGAAGGAGCTATTCCACATTGAAGGAAGATGGTGAGGAAGTCCAGGAGGATGGAATCAGAGAGCACATTTGGAAAGAGTCAAGAAGTGGATGATAAGAGGGTAGAGAAGTAGGTTCAATCATTCCTGTCCAGGGCCTCACCTGTCAGGGGAGAGGCCTGCTTCTGCCTGTACAGCAGAGGGAGACTCATAAGGTTTGGACATCTTCCAAGGCATTCAAGCTGTGATCCGAAGGCCACTTAATTAGAAACCAAACTGGCCTCCCAAGGAGCAGAATCATAAGGAAAGGCTGTGGCCACTGGAGAGGGAAGTGAACAACTCCCCCTAGACAGAGGGCTTATAAACATATGCAGGATGAGCTGTATCTAGCAGCAGCACTTGTGCAAGAGATTCAAATTGTTCAGCAGTGCCCAAGGCAGCACTGGGGTGAAGATTGTGGATTATGGAGCAAGCACGTATTTGATGGGAGTCTTTCAATTCCTAAGGGACATGGGTACATAAATTACCAGAATGGGACTCATCCTTTCAAGCCCAGGAAATGAAAACTGAGATTATAATGGGCTCTGGTCAAGTAAAAAACAAATACATGGCTGACTGCCATAATTCTAAATTTTAATAATAAAACGAGTAAGTACTAGAAAACCCCATTTTGCTTCAACAGAGTGGTGATGCTTTTTCTTGATGCTCTCAATTTACCTTCACAGTAGCTTCTGTTTCTACCCTCTCTTTTGCCTTGTCTATATTTGCTTTAGGACCAGAAGGGGCTTCCAAATTCCCTAATGCTCATAACTATTAGACATCTGACAGTTATTTCAAAATGAAAAAAATGACATTGAGTCATAGAGGAAAATATCTTATTTTGGTGTTTATTACACTTTTCCTTGTCCTTCTGATATATATTCTATTCTTTCCTAGTTTTTGTCTTAATTTTCAAATTCTTTTAGATACATTCCAGCTTTTAAAGTATGCATTTGGTATAAGAAGTATATACCAACAGGCACACAGAGAATTCTGGCCACTTGTGTTAGCCCCGAGGAACAGTAAGTAACCTTTCATTCCCCTCCAGCATACAGAAGGATGTTCTAGTTAGACAGTGTTCTTGTCTCAGAGAAACATAACGTGGGCCACAGGTGTAATTTTAAATGTTCAAGTTGCTATATTAAAAACGTGAAATAAATTTTAGTAATATTTAATATACCTAAAATAATTACTGTTTCACCATGTAATCAATACAAAAAAGTAATGAGATACTTGACATTTATGTCAAGGGCTAAAACATCCAAATCCTGACTTGTTATTCTGTGCCTCAAACAACAAAAATTTACTTCCTTGTAGACCTGGAGGGCAGAAGTTCAAGATGAAGACATTGGCAGGGCTGGCTCCTTGGATGCCTAATGCTGCATGTGGCTGGTGACTCAGTCCTGGACAGTAGAGTAGAGCATGCGCCCTTTCCTTTACTTGGAAGCCGGTTCCTTGGGTGCTCACCTGCTCCAGGGCCCCAAATTAACCAAGGCCTTCCTTCAAGTTTCCACTAGTCATATCACCTCTGAGTCACTCCAAAATATTTTCTCCCAAGATAATTGCAATCTAGGAATGGAGCATGTTAATATGTGCATCTAGACCTACTAATATCTCATTTCTTAATCATCAGCAATGGCTTTAGCTATTTTTCTTATTCCACTGCTTTCCAGAGAGGCATTTTTCAAATGATTACATACACCCAGACCTGGGAGGGACACTCATGCTTTGGCTTTATCAAGTTAAAGTGATCCTTAATCTGCACAAAGTGTCAAATGTTGATCTTGTACGGTGACGCCTATGTCCTGTACCCCACCTAGTGAGATTTCAGCATCTTCATCCCATTCTCTTGGGTGCTTCTGCAGTATCCTGCCTACCAAGCTTGCTCAAATGGAAGAAACGGCTTTGAAGAGGCCAGGATCAAGGCCTAATATCAAATTTTGTGAGAAATCTCTATTCTCACATCCAAAGCTGCATTATTTGGGGGACTGGTGTGAACATTATCTTTGCTAGAATATACAAATATTTAGGTACTTTCTAGATTAACTTTCCCATGTGCACTGAGTTTTCATGATGCTCATAGCTAGAAATCCTGCCTCACCTGTCTAATTAAATGGTGTGATACATGGAGATGCTGTTCTACTCATTCATCCTTCTGAGCACTTCCCCAACCCTTGAAGTTTGGTGTTTCCATGTGACTTGCTTCAGCAGATGACATGAAGAGAAAGTGAAGTGTTATCTCTGGGGAGAAAGACAAAAGGTCTAGCCGCTTCTTACTGTCCCTTCCTGGCTACAGCCATGTGGCAGAACCTCTG